TTGGCCTCCTTCCACTTTCCTCTTTTGATGTTATTCTCCCTTTTTATGGCTCCTTGCTTGAGCCTGAAGCCCCATCAAACGTTGCTGGAGAGTTCATCCAACAGAAACAAACGGGACATGTCTTCTGTGGGTGGAAAGCAGAAACTCCCCACCCAGGGGCCAGCACATCCTGTCTGTAGCCACTGCCTGTCCCCCAAGGCACATCAAGTTCCCAAAGGCAGACCTGCACTGGCCCAAGCGTCCAAGCTGTGGGTGACTCAGTGACATCCCTTCCCCAAAGGCGCACAAGGCTCTGCTCCATCTTGAAACTCTTGTGAGCACAGCCCTGTTACAGGAAGTGAAGCCAAGGAGCAAAGCCTGGATGGGATACGGAGGTGCCTTGGGGCTGCCTCCCCCCTGCACACCGGCCCTTCCTCCCCAGTTTAAAGCCATTCCCCCTTGTCCTGTTCCTACCTGCCCTTGTCAAAAGCCCCTCTCCAACTTTCTCATCAGCCCCTTCAGGCACTGGAAGCTGCTCTAAGGTCTCCCTGGTGCCTTCTGTTCTCAGCTTTGTGCACCTAAAACAAGACACAGGGCAGAGTTGGGGCTGCCGCCTGACAGTGAAACAGCAAGAGCTGCATGGAGGGCGTCAGCAGCCCTGGTGCCAGCACGGAAGAGCACAGGACACTGCTGGGGAAACCCTGTTATTCCTTAACATTGAACACACGCTCTGTGCCGCCCGCCCCGGGACCTCAGTGTGCCACTGCCTACTGAGCACAGCTGCGCAGGTTGGCAGCTGATTCATCAGCCCAGAGCAGCCTTAAAAGGCAGCAGGTGCCCTGGCCCCTCAGCTCCAACGTGGGCCCACAGGGAGCATGGGGGGACCCAGTGACACCCGGCACTGACACCACAGAGCTGTGCCTGTGCCCTGTCCCAGAAGGTAGATGCAGGGGTGCAGTCGGTGAGAGCCCCAGTGTGGGAGCATCGTGGTGGCTGTGCCTGGTGCCCCATTCCCTGGGGCCGCAGTGCTGAGCCAACCCAGCCTCCAGCGTGCCTTCCCTATGCAGCCACGCTGCAGCCGCTACCAGGCCCAGGGCTGGCACCAGCACCCGGAGTTTTCTCCAGCACTCCTGAAGCTTGGCTCGACAGCAGGAGATTAGCTTCTTTTCCAGCTTTGCCTGGATTTGGTGACCTCTAACGACGACCTTCCACCCAGGCTGGCAGCCTCCATTTCTTGCTCCCACTGAAGGGAGGGCAATGGGCCCCTCTCCCAGGGGCAGAGCCACACTGAAATAGAGGAACTAGTGCAGAGTCAGGAGCTGGGACCATCCCCTGACCCTCCCCTGCTCCAGCCCTGGAGATGGGATGAAACTGTGCCCAATGCAGAGCAGGGAATAAGGCAATGGCAGGACGTCCCTGTGTGGCCCCAGTGGACCAGAGGGAAGTGAGGTTGGATATGACACAGCAGAGTCAACTCATACAGGAGAGGGCTTACAGGGCACTGGGTTGTGCCACAGCAGGAGGAACATCCCCATGGGAGCAGCCACTGACCAGCTCCACTTCAAAGGAATCCCAAATGACAGTCTGGCCAGATCCTGGTACTAATGTTTGCAGGAGTTATGCGGCACTGCCACCCATGGACCAGCTCACCAGGGGACAGCTTAGTCACACTTGTCACTAAAAGCCAATGGCAAGATGAGAAGCCAATGGTTTTCTTAACAAAGCAGTGTCTGCCCAGAAAAGCCACATGTAGAACTGGGGTAATGGTTGGACTTGATCTTAATGGTCTTTTCCAACCTAGTTGATTCTATGAATTGTCTTCAAAAAGCATTGCCTGTGTCAAGGTAAAGCAAAGATTTTCAGACTTGACTGCAATTCTGAGCGCAACTCTCCAGCCAATTCCTTACCCACTGAGTGGTCCACCCATCAAATCCGCGTCTCTCCAGTTTAAAGACAGGCAGGTCACGCAGGCCAGTGTCCAAATGCTTTGCACAATTGTAGCTGATCATTTGAACCCCTCTGCCTCAATGCAAGCCGGTAGCACTTGGGCCCTTACAAAGCACCCTCCTTTGCCCTTTCACGATGCTGGGTGCCAGGCAGACTTAACACACTCTGTGCTCCTGCCCCAGGCTAATTCCTCCTGGCCTGGCAGAGCCTCAGGTGGGGGCAGCTTCACTTAACAAATATCTGCTGACAATTGCTGGGCTTCGCTGCATGTGGGGAAGAGAGGGCAGCTGCCTGCCAGGAATCCTGCCTTAGCTGGCAGCACAGGATGCAGGAAGAGGCTCCAAGAGGCTGGGAACTACCATTGCACAGCCCTCCATTGGGGGTTGGAACTGGATGAGCTTTAAGGTCCCTTCCAACCCAAACCACTCCACGATTCTATGATACTGTTGTATATCACAAGCATCCTTTTAGGCCACAAATGGTAAAGCAATATAAAAACACGAAGTGTTGCAGCATGCAGGAGCCTATGGTAAAAGCTGATGCAACCTTAAGCTGCTTTCAACATCAGTTTTAAGGATGACAGATGGAGGCAAGGAAAATAAAACCTACCCAGTTCTCTGCTTTAGCCTCCAGTGGATTTGAAGCCACATTGCTTATTTTAAGTGAGGCTTTTAATGCTGACCCCATTGTTGGCCACCTGCTCTTCATCCCCATGCCTTCTGCGGAAGCCATTAACATCCTTAACAAAACAGCCCTCTCAGGTGCTCCACTGGGAAAGCATCCAGCACAATCAAGGATCCTCATCCAAAAATGAGCTGAAACTCTCCACAGCATAGATAGGATGCTGGAAACATGCTACCTTGAAATACAGATGGCTGCCGCCCTACTATGCCCAGGTCAGTTGGGTGATTAAAGACTCAGCCTGGACTGGGGCTGAACTGCGCCTTCCCCAGCTCCATCCAGCCCTGCCAGGATCCTGGGCTCCTGCACAAGGCTGTGAGCGCTTCTTGCCTAGCTACAGGTACACAAATATCCCAAAAAAGGCCATCACCAAGGAAGGGGTTCTTTTCAAGCCATGGTGAAGCTGAGCAGCTCACCAGCACACCTTCTGCTGTGAGACTAGCTGAGTTAGACAAACCGTCTGGATTTTAAGTACTTTATTCTCTTAGACCCCTGAAGTGTATATCAGTTGTGGGGCGATACGGTACAGATCCTGTTTGGAAGCAGCTTGCAGCCTTTTTCCTTCCCCCCCCACCCCAATTCCTAATAAGACAGCACACACAGAACTAGTGGGGTATAAAGAGGGGTCTTGTATCCATCTCCACAGGGTTAACAGGCATGGCTGAGCCCTTAAAGCACAAGCTGTGGCTCTTGGCCCCCAGTACTGCTGGGGGCTTCCCATCCATCTTCAATTTCCTAAATATCAGTAAGTTTGGGATGACAAACTGAGTCAGGAGCATTCACAGGAAGTGCAAGTGTAAAGCCAGAGATTGACAAAAAGTTTTTATCCACCTGAGTGATCTCAGAGAAGAGCATCACGTCTCCCTCTGCTTTTCTCAAACAACTGGTGCATCAAACTTTCACATGGAGCAATTACTCACGTACAAAGTTGCGCCCAGACATCAGTTTGCTAAACTGATTATTTACCACCAAGGCTTGGCACAGCTTGGGTGCATCAGCAGCCAGCCTCCCCCCACCACACAGGCCCTTTGCACCTCCCAGCTTCTTCCAGGCGTTCAGATTTTCCAGGTGAGATGTGGCCATCACCCTTATAATTCTGCATTGCATCTCCTCCCCCTTCCAGGTCATCAGTTTTGAGGGAAGGCAGCAAAATCCAATTTATTTTTTTTTAAATGAGAAAGTTCATGTTTCATCCGTGCAGCCCTCAAGGTTAACAGCAGAGTTTTAAAAAGGAGTTTTAAAAAATCAAGTTAAAATTCCACACAAGTCACCTCCATTTCAGTATTTTTTTTTTGACAAGGGTACAAATACAGGACTCACGTGTGGGGAGCAAGCCAAGCTGTGCAAAGCATGGATTTCTGCTAAAGAGCCATGAGCTTCCTGGATGCGTGGCTGCTCCTAGGCTGTGTGCCAGGCCTCAGGAGCAGCACTTCTACCAAGAAGTTAATGTGTGAGGAAGATAAGCTACAGTAATCATCACAGCATTGCTGCAGCAAGCAGCTGGCCTTACCCCGAAACCACTCGTTCACCAAAAGCAGCAGCAAAGCTGTTCAGGCACTGTTGTGCCATAGAAGCATGTGTTCCTGCTTCACTTTGTAGGGCTCAGCTACAGGGTACAACACACTGTTCCGTTAGGAACCAATTCTATTTCCTGCCTTTCCCAGCAGAAGGTTCTTCTGCTACTGGAGAAGCAGCTGAAGTCAAAGCAGAGTGGTTTCAGAGCAGCCTCCCAGAGCAGGATCATTAGCGTGGCTCCTCACAGCTGAGCTCTTTTCTGGACCCAGTTCATGATAATAATACACAGCCTCAGTGGGAGCAGCCACAGTAAACTGCTGCTGCCGGGAATCCTGGGAACAGCTTCAGGACCTGGCCCTCCTGGGATCACCCGAGACACCTCAGCTCCCAGAATTTCTTCCTACTTTGAAACACCAGCACTAGAACTAAAGGAGCAGCCAATTCAAATTGCTATGAAATAAAGCAATCTAAGAAAGGGAGGTGAACATATTTAAGTACAATAAGAAATTTTCCCTTAGACTGTCTATGAGGCTTCCAGAGCAGAACACAGGAGTTCAGTGACCTGGGAACCTCTACCTGTAATGAACCATTTCCCATTTTTTCTTCACCACGACGCATTACACTAGAAAACCACAGAATCAAAGCTGCAGCCGAGAAAATTAACACCCCCCACGAGCAGGCTGCCCCTTAGCAGAAACACAGTGCAAGTACAATTCATAGGATTCAACTGCAGCAGCATTAGCTTCATTTGACTGTATTTAAATAAAAATAAAGCATTAAAACAAACAAAATAAATCCCAACAGGCACTAAAATACTTTCCCTGCTTATAGCACGTAGCCCACGTGCATGGCACTTAGCAGCCTCCCCACCCCTCCCTGGGCAGGATGTTGAACTTTGTGGATGCTGCAGAACACAAGAAGCCATTTCCAAAACGGAGTGTAATGAGAATAGTCAGCAGAATCAGCTCCCAGACAGCATCCCAGTTGCTGGGTTCAAGCCTGCAGCCCCAAGTTCCAGGGTGTTCCCAGTGAGATGACAGATGAGGAAAGAGCCAGTGCCTGATCATTACAAGCCAGGAACAGACTCTTCTCCTTCCTGCTGCAGCTTCCCCCCCCGAACAGGCAGTCTTTGCAGTAAGTTCAGTTCAGCCTTTAGAGCTTCTTCAGGCGACTGTACAGTTCCCTTTTGCTCTTCTCGCCAGCCCAGGTTCGGCTTTTGGTGCGGAATCTTTTCAAGTCTTCTTTAAAGTCCTCATGGTGCATGGGGCGATAGCTCTGGGGCTCGCAGAAACTCTGGGGAAAGAGCAGCTGTTTTCACTATGGTGGTCTCACAGGAGAGATGGCCTTGTTGAGACCCCCTGGCAGAACCTGCCAGCAACTGTTCCAACAACTACCACCGTAACAAACAGAAAGAGACCACCCTCCCCTGGCTCTATACAGGACCTTCATACCAGACACTCATGAAGAAAACCTAGTGATATTCAGACTACAGCTACTTCTGGAGGGATAACAGCTATTAAATGAAGGATTTCCAGCCCTGTGTACAGAGCTCTCACCCAGATTTTCTAGTAGACATCAATACATAAACTAAGGCTATCTAGCATTCACCTTGGAATAGCAAAGTTTTAAAGAATACTTGAACCAGAAACCAAGCAGCCCCTGGCGCACATAGGAGCTGCCATTGGCTGTTTCATGCTGCCACCTTGAGGCCCTTGGTCCTTCCACCTCAGAAGGGGGCACCTACGGGCCCCAGAACCAAACCCAGGTGCACCCGCTGCCACAGGGGAACCATCAGGTCACAGGGAGCACCAAAACCCAGGAGGAGCACTCCCTACCATGAACAGCAGCATCCCAAAGGCTGGAAAAGCCAACATGCCACTGGGAAAGAACACCCTGCATCTCCCTGAAAGCACACAGGTCACAGAACGCGAAGGTAATCTAAGAGCTACTCTACAGTGCAGGGGTCCAAAAGGAACTAAAGCAACTGTCAGGACACAACTTCGTTACACTCAGAAGCACAGGAAGGACTAGCTGGAGAAGGACAGTACAGCCTCTGAAATGCCAAGGCAGCAGAAGCCAAGGGATACAGGAAGCACCATCCCCACAATGCTGGTGGGAGAGCTGCTGAGCATTTTTTAGTTTCCTTTTCTGAATTAGATGCTGAAAACACAAAGCTCAAATTTTCCACTTTGTTATCTCAGTGTGAGACTTCAGGACTGTTATCAGCAATTACTGTCAGGGCTGCCTTCTCTTCCAGTCCTTGCAGGCTGAGTAGTCTGAAATTCCTTCTCCAAATGACATTCTGAACTCCTGGCTGTTATGCTAGGGTAGAAACCAGTTTTATACTATGTCTTGTCTTGAGACAAGTGGGAAAACCTTTCAGCTATAGCAGCAAAACAGCTCTGGTGCATGGAACAGACTTCAAGTGCCTCACTACCAAATTCTAATTACTCTCAGTATGGGAGACCACAGTGAAATAGAGGAGGAAAAGCACCCCGGCAAAAAATGTCCTACTCCAAAGGCAGCCTTATTCAGTACAAATACATCAGTATTGTTTACCCATTGTTTCTTCTCCAAGTGTGAAAGAGATGAATTTAAGTGAATGTTACTTACACGGCATCTTGAGAAGAAGTCCCTGTAACCCCCTTTCAGGATGTACAGTTCTGGGTAATGGAGGTTGGGGTATTCGTTACCCAGCCTGTCCCGCTCTCTCACAAACCGGCACCTGCAGCAGGAAAAAACCCTGCATTAAATCTTGCACTCAACAAACACCACAGGAAAACAGCTCTCACCCCAAACTTCCCATTCCTGGGGCTACAGAAGTAAGCCACTGCTGCAGCTCACCTGTTTTTCATTTCCACCTCTTGTGCCAGCACAACTCCAATATGCCCTTTCCCACCATGGGCTGTGCTACCTCCCAGCCAGAGCTGACAACCAACAGCTACTCACAATAAGCTGCTTATTAAGTGGCACACCAGCATAGTAACTAGTGGCACCCAAAAGCTTTGCTCCCAGCTAGCACAGCAAAAAGTTTCCATATAGAGGAGTGTGAGATAACTCACATTCGAGGACCCCGCTCCGAAGAAAACTCGCAGTGAAATACTATTATCACTCGTTTGTTATCCGATGGCTTGATTGGCTTCTTAAGCAAATAGTTTTCCACATCCTCTTCCATATGTAAGTTTATAGCACCCTGTAATGCACAAGCACATGGAATGAGTGGATGATTGTAGTGAGCCCATCCCACTTCCTTGCAAGCAGTTTAGCATAAGTTTCCCAGAGGAGCTCTGGCAGCCCTCTCTAGCATTGGGAAGACAGCATCAAACCCAAGCAGAACATTACAGATAGCCTGTAACACACCCACATGGCCTTGGATGCTCTTGAATGAAGAGCAGCCCCCATGGTGCCAAGTGACCCCAGTTTGCAACTTATGACAACTCTATGTTACTCTTACAGGGCCAACATACCTTGATGTGTCCTCCTTCATACTCATATGGGTATCTGCAATCAATTATCACACATTCCTTGATGAAGTCTGCAAACTTCCCAGTCAGCACAGACACCATCTAGAAAAAAAAAAAAAAAAAGATAGAACTCCACAAACCCCCTCCAGAGTTCAGGTGTTTCAAGATGTTCTTGTCTTGCTCTCCCCAGTAAAGATTTTTTCTTACTGTCCCTGGAGCACTTACCATTTCTGAGTCAATATATTTCAAGTCCTGATGTTTCCCATCAACAGTGCGGAATAAGTAACTCTGTAAGACAGACAGCATTCAAATGAGAAAATTCCAAAGGTAGGCCATAGCACAGTGTCCAGCAACTGCGTATTTTGTAACACAGTCAAATTGCAGACAAGAGCCCTTCTAGCCAACATACTTTCCCAATAACTGGAATATGCACTGTTGAAGGGACTTGCTTTATTTGGGCTGCTTTGAGACATCTCCAGTAAGAGAGGCCATTAAAATACCAAATTAACATTTGACCATTAAATCCTTACCTTTGAGAAGTCACCAATAAGGTCTGTCTGGTCACCATCCAAAATGTTTTCGATCTCTGCTGTGGAGCATTGTGTCTTCACCATTTCCAGATTCTAGAGGAAAACGGGTTAGAGATCAATGCTGAGCACTGACAGCAGAGAGATCCTTTTCCCACAACATAACGTAAAACTGAGTTTACTCCGAAGCCCTGAACTACGACTCCCCAGCATCCCCTTTGGATTAAGGTGAAACTCGGACTCAGGAGCATGCAATTGCTGCACCAGCTCCCCCAGATCTCCTCACAATGAAGAGAGAATGCAGTTTTGCTAGGTCAGCAATTCACCTGAAAAAAGCTCTCTCATTAACCTTCACCAGCTAGACACTTATCTTAGATCCTCTCCTAATCAATTCTGTTACAAAACTGGATGCCAAGCCACTAACCGTTGAGTCCTCAGAAGCTGTTTCAGTCAGGCTTTTCCTCCTCTTGTTTTTCCCTGGAGTGTTCTCTTCCTGGGATCTCTCCATCCTTTTCTGGGTGGTTCTTCCTACACCACTAGGCAGAGATGAAGAGCCAAACAGCTGGCATCGTTTGGCCTATGAGGAAGAAGAAGAGTTGTCTAGCAAAAACTAAGCTTGGAAACTAAGCAAGCCTCAGACTTTCAGACCATTACAAATTTTGCTTTATTGAAGACACTGTCACAGCACAGCAACAATGGGATATTAACAGGGTCATCTAAATTCAGGACCTACATTTCCAGTAACACTCATTTCTTGCCCTGCAGGCTGGGTGAGTCTGGAGCACCAGAAGCAATATCAAGTGCTGGCAGAGTGTTTATACCAATTAACAGACAACTTATCAGCAGATTAAGGAGCTTTTTGCTGGAATCTAGCCTCCCTTCACAGTCTCTTGTCAGACTATCTGGCTACAGGGATTCCCTGGATGCATTCAAGATAAGTCAATAAGTATCTGATAAGGGAAGTCAAGATCATCTTGCATTTATGAAGTAGCTTTGGAAAAAGAAAGTTAATGCATATATATGCACACAATGAGTATTGTTCCACACTGACAAAGCCTTTCAGCTAAACAGTCCTTAGAGATAACAGAACACACTGAAGGGGGGTTATGTCATATCTTATTCTGTTGTTTTTAGGGACACAGGACCAGAGCCAATGTGATCACTTTTCCCAGCAGTGAAAACAGCTGCAGAACAAAGTGCCCATCTCTGTTCTGTTATGCTCCCACAGGACACTCACCCGATTGTCCATCCTCCTCATGACTAGTGGTGCAGTCCAGAGGCTTGCCACATCAGATGGCATCTCCTCATCGTTCTGAGGAAAAAAAAAGGAAGTTCATTCTCATCTATTCCACGGTGGGCAGAGACTAAATACAGCTTGGGCCAGCGTTTCAGTTGAATTCATGTTAGTGATGTTTTAGGAATTTAACTCAATCACTAGTCCAATACTCAATGAAATAATGGAACCAAGTAGAGATGTGTTGGAGAAGGTAAGTTACATCAATTCATTGATTGATTAACAATGATGTTCCTTCAAAGCTTTAAGCATTTAAAATTCAATTAGAAAGTCTGCTTAAGTAGCTCAGAAGCAAATCTTACTTCTAGCTCTTTTAGCAAGTTTCCAAAGAAAAATGCGGACTGTTCCACTAATTCCCTCTAGTAGTGCAATTCCCATCAGCCAATATGAACAGGAGTAATTCTTAAACTAGCTGCTGTTCACACCCCAAGTAAATCTCACTGTCTGCACTAGGAAAGAGCATGTATAAGATAGAGACACTGAAACTGAATTGAAAAAGGTAATAACTCACCTGCTATGATTCCCTAGTACCTAGCTTTTTGCAGTCTGACTTTCCACACTGACTTCTGCTAGAATGCGTGTGCACCACAGACACATGTTGTAGCTGACTACTAACATTAGACAGAGCAAGTTTCAAAATGCCCATATTTCCTTTGTACATACCTTCAAATCTTGGTCATCTAACAACTCCAGGAATCCATCATCATCTTCACTTTCAGAAGAAGTCAGAGAAGACTTCTGCAGGAAAACTGGGCTGCAGTGTTCCTTTCTACCCTTGGGTGTTTCACCCATGGGAAACTGAGACAAGATAGACAGTTTTAACAACACTCTTCCCATTTACTGCAGAGAGCTATAACCACAGAGACAGTGCCTTGCCTCTTACTACATTACAGAAAACATGGGGTGTTTTCCCCCATCTTGAGTACACTGACTTGAACAAACCCCAAACTGAGTTCCAATATTTCTATTTGATCCCTACAATAGCAGAGTGCTTCATTAGACTCATTAAGCAATAACCCTCGTCTGAGAAAGACACCATTCAGGGAAGGTGCAATGGAAAGAAACGGTTGGTGTCAGTGGGAACAGGAGGTAATATAAACTCTGCAGCTGATAAACACAAGATCAAGAGTACCAAGCAGGACGAAGGAACTGATTCAAGGAACAGAGGGAAGGCTTAGTCCCCCAGCATTGTTTCTGTGCAAGGACCCATCATGGCTTTCCAGTTGCTTCCTGGATGTCATATTTGGACATAAGATCCAGTCACATCAACACAGTTGTTCTAAATGCATCTGCCCCAATTTAGTTATTTACTTTATTGATAGTGAAAACAATTATAAACTAAAGTCCTCTATTCCACGTCAACATCCACTCCCTTAATTTACTGCAGCATAAACCCAGCTCTGTAATGACTAATCTTTCAGACTACAGAACAATCGATGTTTCAAACTCCTGATCATCTTACAAGCCAAATGTGAGAAATCCTCTTATCTGCAAGACAATTTTTTCCATTTGACACATTAGTGGTGACTAACAGTGCTGCCTTAGAACATGATGCAATTTTTCTTCTTCTTAATTTTTCTTCCCCTTCTGCATACCTCCAGGTATGCAGAAGATCAGGTGAGAATTAGTTGTAAAGAACACTATAGTACTTACTATACACTATAGTACTTACTATCTGAGCTGGAGATGAATTCTGCCTTGGTCCAGGAACACCATTTCCAGCAGGGGAATGCACATGCACAGAAGAACGAGAAGCTGGTTTGGTTGGCTTCTTAAACTCAAATGGTTCCTGAGTTAAAAAGGAGCAAAGTGATCATTTTACCAAAATCAAAAACTGTGTAAAGCTCTAGGGTCATTTTATCTTTTTTGTTTGGTTTTTTTTTTTTAAAGCTACCTGAGGTTGTGCTTTTAAGTTCCTTACTGCCAACAGGAGTAGTCTGAAGGCAAATGTTTTCAGATTAAAGATGTTAGAATAGCAATTCATTTAACATAATTAAGCTTTTATCCTTTTGATATCACCCATAGGGTTAAGGCTTTCCTATTTCTTTTGTCAGCCAACTTCTCTGCAAAAGGAATCATTTTTAAATTCTGCTGACACCCCCTCTTCTGTCAAGACTTGTCAGAGGCCCACCAATGGGATTTCCAGCAGCAAAGCCTTCCAGACCAAGTAGCCAAAAGGACATTGGTGTTGCGACGAATCAAGGCTTCCCATGCCAGTAGTGGAAAGAGATGGGGTGATCTATTGAAACAGCTTTCTAGAGGCACCCCTCACAGCTATCTAAAGTGAGTGGCATGAATATATTTTCCCTTGCCACAGCCTAAAAGGAGTCAGGCTCAGCAGCACAAAAGTAGAGCTGGGCAACCAAAGTCTTCCAGATTTTTTGTGAATGTATAATCAGTTTGCAGTCACTATGATCAGTACTGTTGCACTTCACTGCAAGCTCCCTGGAGATAAGCTATGCAAAACTTTGTTATGTCTGAACTACTGCCTGGAGAGGGGAAAAGAAGCCTTTTCCACCACATCCACTGTTAAAGGGGTGTGCTAATCCAGCTCTCGCAGTACCACCTCTTATGCCTGTCATCACAGCAATGGAAAGCAATGCTTACATTCTCCTTTTCATCTTGTTCCAACAGTTGAAAAGCATCGTCATCCAGGGAATCAGAAAGGTTTCTCTTCAGAGCAGGACTGGATCCCAGGAGGCTTTGCTACAATATTCATACAGAAGTGCCAGTTCAGTATTGTGCAATATATGTCTTTGCACAACTGCATTTAAAACAAAAGAGTGGTTAATAAAGACTGTAAAGACTCCAACTGCAAACTCTGTGCAGGAGTAAATGCTGATACATATCTTGGTTCAGGTACCAAAATGCATCAGCTGCAGCAGTGACAGAGCCACATCACTGATCTTTCATGCTAACTTAAATGAGATATTGAGTTTACATGCTGTAATTCTGACAGTTTTCATTAACTGCCACACTAGCTGTTCTTGCAGCCAGAAAATTAACAAGTTATAGAATGTATCTAACTAAAAGCATTTAATATAGTAAATTCTTTAATATTTATAGAATACCAATACCAAGCTCACTTACTGGCAGAGAATGGATTCTTCTGAAAGGCATCCGAACGCTACAACAAAAAAGAATCAAAAAGATTTATTTCAATGTGTTTTAAAAGACTCTAACACGAGTAGAACTCGCTTCTCCTCCTACCCCCCCGTAAAACTCCACAAACTACCGCAGTCACTGACAAAGGAGTTGGAAGTAGAAATACACTTACTTCAGTCTGCTGGATTCAAGAATTGCTTTCTCAAACCTAAAAGCAAGCATGATGCCCCACAGTTAGCACCAAAGCACAGTACACTAAAAATCAACTTTCATTTTCACTCAAGAAGTGTTATGCTAAGCAGAAGCCAAGATACTGCTTGATGACACTGTCTTTCTTAAAAGCTATTTATAGCCAGCTGATACGATCCTAGTTCTTAGAACATAAGCTAGACTCCTTTCTCCCCCTCCTTTCCTTAAGTTCTTTTCAGCAGCATTTAGACAAGATGCTAGGCTGAAGGAAGAAAAGCTCAGTACATGAGTGACCACAAGCATCTGCCCCATCCCTAGCAACAGAAGGTTAAGGGAAAAAATTGATCTAATTGAGAGCAACAAATGCAAAGCTCAGAGCAACTGCCTGGTATCAGTAGGAACATATGGAAGCATAAATTATAGTTTAAGTGTTGAGTGACAACTGCAACTTACATGCAATTTGGTGCAGCCTCAGCCTGCTGGTAAGGTGCCCATGTCATGCTCAAACAGTCTGGTTGGTACAATAAATTAACCCAGACCCAAGACTTGTTATGTACTCTAGGATGCAGACAAGACAGAAACCCTAGCAGCTCAAGCTGCAGAGCGCTGCAGTTTTTCAGAGACAAGAGCCCATTGCACATGTGTCAGCAAAGGAAAAGCTGCATCAAGACTCTTATTAGCCTACATTTGCTAACGGCGCAATGTGAAATGCCACAAGCATATGGTTACATACGTTTCCTCCACGATATCATTCGAGGATGCAGGAACAGGTGAATCCAAAGCACAACCTGAAAGAAGAGAGATAACAGAATGTTTTCTATTGAGCATTAGCTAGGAAATACAAAGTATTGGACACTGTTACAGATTTCCTCAGAGACCATGAGCTTAGGCTGGAAACTAATGCAGAAAGCCCCATCTGCAGCCTCACCTCAGTGTAGAAGTAAATAACAGTTACAGATACTCCATAGCACTGGCTTTTGCCATAATCAAGGGTTAGTGCTTCAAGTAAAATAGGAGTAATTAAAAAAAAAGCACCTCTAAGCCCTGTCTAGAACATCACAGAGACCAGAGTGCTAACACATAACATGGAACATTCTTGGCTTATTCTCCCTCACACACATCTTTAACAACTTAGTCCTTTAGGGTTTTTTAAGCTATGTTTTTAGTTACACCTCTTCATAGGAAGAAATTTTTGGCTCATTCGAAAACAAGTAGTCAAAATGCCTTTCTTAATGCCTGCTAGCGTACTGGAAACAATAGCAAGCACTTTGTAAGCACAAACCAAGCTAAACATTCCAGCTACATAGCATCTAAGTACAGCCAAGTGTGAAGCTTACTTAAACACAGACTCCCCAAGGAGTTTTTGTATCATATTCACAAGACCTAGTGATAGGCCAGCAGCGTACCGGGTACTCTCTATACCATCATGACAAGACTTGTTGCTATTTCAGTGACTGCATTCTAAACAAACAACTACAAAGAATTAATTTGACTAACATTGACAGGAAGTGGTCTCAGCACAGCAGAAACTTTAATCATAAGTGTTTTGTAAGCACTTAAGACCTGCTTTGGAGACAGAAACAAAAAAGCCAAGAAGAAAGCGAAGATTTAGCAAGCTTGGTTATTTTATCCTGCTCTGTGGTTTGTGAGCTATACTTGTGTTTTAGCGGTTCATAAAGCTCCTTTGAAGGCTGAAAATACCATGCACAGTCAGACTGGTATATAAATTCAGTTGGAGACACTGATTCCCATCACTGGGTTGGACCAGTGAAGTATCAGAAGCTTCCCTGACTATGAGTTATGGGGTAATGGCTTATTTCATTTTCACTGATAAAGCATCTCATCTGAAAAACAAGGGTAAACACACACTTCTAGGCAAGTATCAGTATTTCAGGTTTCACACAAACAATCAGCTCATGATAACTGCCACCAAAAAACCCCAAACCACAAGACAAACCCTGCTCAATGGCCTCTATTCAAGCATGCAGAGCAGGTTACCACAGTTTGGGTTTAAAGAGAGAAAACACACAGTGATGACTGTATTTCAAAGTTATCACCCTCCAGAAACTCAAGTGAGTCCCATTCACAGACAAAAACAGATATGTGATGGATCCTAACAATGAAGGGTAAAACATTATCTCCCCATTTTTTAGACCACAGCCCCAACATGCAACTCTAAACACCCCCAAGCCAATATCTCAAGACACCACAGACTAGAGAATGGTGGGATTCCAATTCCCCAATGAAGCCTATCTTGAGCTATCTTCAGCAGGCTTCATCTTCAGCTGTCTCTGCTGCAAGGAAGGCCGATACACTCATGATAAGTTGTTTACCTACTACCATGTACGGAGCAGAACATCAAAGCAATCAGAAAGTGGTAGTGATAAACATCACACTTCAGTACAAAGCATGACACTCAGCAACCATGTCTCAACAGCCATCCTAAGAAAAAAAGGAAAAAGCCCTTCTGCCAGAGTCCCCCAGTGAGGGGGCTGAACCAGTTTTTCCTCCATATAGCTCTACTACTAACATACTCGAAGACAACTTAAACAAAAAAAAAAAACAAACAAAAAAAAAAACCAAAAAAACATCCACAACCCAAACTGCATGAACTGCAGAAGCTTGCTGAGTAATGGCCTGCCTGCCTCCCTCCTTTTAAGCATGAGAAGTGGTTGCAGCGATTGCAGGCAGCAAAAATTCTCTATCCACACCATGGAAGCTGCTTGTAGTGGAAGCTGTGTAAAGATAGGACACTTCTCCTTTCTTACTTGTTATTAATTGAGAAAGCCATACCTGAGTCTGTCGATTCCGATGACTCAGTCCTTTGTAAACTACTAGTATTCTTGTTTCCCAGATCATGCTCAGCTTTTTCATGTTGGCTGTAAAAGAAAATAGGTATTTGTTTTAAATGCTCATTGCAGCAATAGATACCATATAAGAGTGCCTGCCTGTAAACATATGGCACACATAATCATACCTCAAAGCCATTATCAATGGCCAAATGGAAGGATTCCAGCTTGGCAGTCCTACAGACTGCAGTCTCCTGTGTTCTGCGTGCTCTCAAGTACAAGGACAATGCCACCTCCAGATCACCATGGCTTATAAATACACTGATCTAACCCCTACAGGGGCTAACACTTCAGGTTCTGGGTTTTTAAACCTGCACATGCACTGTGGATAATAGCAGAAGTTAGGCTTCCAAAGCAGGGACAGGAGTGTGTCATCTAAGACAGTAACTATCCTGGTTACCTTTCTGGTCACCTCGCGCCAAGCTTTTCTCCATCAGGTGCTATGAGGGGTGTTTTGAACATTTTAGAGCCTGTCCTGAGCTGGTGCCTTCACAATGAAGGTTCTAATATAACTAAGTGGCAAACTTTGCAATAGAACTTTAGGACTAAAACCAGTTTAAGTATGTCATAGGTTACTGATGCCTGGAATCACATTTGCACCTCCCACACCAGTCTCCAGAGTCCCATTATCCTTCTCAGGACTGCAGCCCTCTCTTTGGCAGTCACTCATTTAATTAATGCTGCACAGAAAAATTAACACTATTCTAACTCAAACTCATTTTTATAAGTAGTTAGCTCTCAAATTTTGTTTTATCAACTATGCAAGGTCTTCTCTGCTCACATAACCATCAGACCAGTCTAAATAATTCCGTAGGTGAAGAGGCTTGAGGCATCTCCTGCCTGACCAAGCATCAAACACAGAGTCATTTCATACACGGGCAGGGGTCACAGCAGCTTCAGTACAGAGATGTATGTATCTCATGTAGCCTTATTCCAGATTACCTTAAAGAAAGGAAAAGCTACTCGAGTGTTGCTCCTCCATCACATAGGTTAATGAAAAAAAATGCACCAGGGCATAAGCCAGGGCTACAAACTCAGAGGACACAAGAATGAAACAGAGGGGACTTGTGCAAATTGTTTGCAGGAATTTCAGGAATCTGAAGGAGGGAAGGATCATAAAGAAAGCAGGTGATTACAGAAACAAGAATGATAGAAAATCAGAAAATAAAGGACAAATACTAGGAGAACAAACAAGACCAGAGCAGGCCAGGGCAAAACAGAAACTATACAAGAGGCAAACTGCAGAGGTTACTGCAGGAATAATGAGATTAAACGAGTTACAACCAATAACAGCAAAATGGGATTGAGCAACTGCATGGCTGCAGCTCTGTGGAGAGGAGCTGCAGAGCTCAGAGACTGCAGCACTTCCCATATGTGAAATGGCAAAGAGAGGAGTGGGTGCACGGGAGCCAGGCAAAGGGAAGCAAGAACAGAGCTGAGATACTGCAGCTAATGCGGTACAGAAGGCAGGAAGGACAGACACAAACGTACCAGCAGTAATTTGCGGGATAAGGGAAAGCACCCAACATGGAGCTCAGAAGCGAGGCAGACACCCAGAGCAGAACCAGGGGAAGACGGTGGCACGTGGAGGGACACTCAGGGAGAAGATGGCCCACAGCATCGGGACCACAGCCACATGTGGGCAGGAGCTCCCGCGGGAATGACTGGGGGGGCTGGCAGTCTCTGTGCTGCTTAAGCAGAGAGGGGGCTATTTGGTGGAAGGAGGGGCGGGAGGGGGAGTGGAGCTCAGCAGGGGTGAAGGCATCAGAAAAGGTGGGGGTTAAGGGAGTAATGGAAAGCCTGGGTTTGCAAGGATGGCATGGGGGTACATAGGAAGAACTCCTGGAGGCCTAATTGGGGGAGTGCGGGGGAGTGGGAGGTCTAAAGACAGGGAGAAACAGCTCCTCGAGGCCTCATTTGGGGGGAGAGGGGAAAAGGTGCTCCAGATTTTAGTGTTAAGGATGGGGGGTGCTTGGAATGAGAGAATAAGAGATGAGGTCCTCGAGGCCTCACGTCTGAAGGGAGAAGGAGATTAAGAGATCTTCAAGGCCTCCATTAGGGAGGAAGAAGAGATGCACGAGGCCTCACTTTTTTTAGGGGGTGAGGGTAGACGAGGTCCCCGGCGCATTGCTTGGGGTGGAAAAGGGGAGAGAAATGTTTCTCGAGGCCTTAAATTTGGGGGTGGAAGAAAAGGTCCACAAGATCTTAGTGCGGTTGAGGCAGTTGGGGGGGGGCGCGTGAGGAACGGACGAAGAACAACGGCGCGAGTCCTGGCTTTGAAATGGGGGGGGAGGAGGAAGAGCTCTCCTAGGCCTTGTTTTTGGTGTGGGATAGAGGAGATGGAACCCTTGAGACCTAGTATGGCGGTCGGGGGGGTAAAGGGGGAGCTCCCTCAGGCTTCGCTTCGGGTTAGGGAGGGAAGACGGGGGAGGAAGAGGCCCTGAAGGGCCCGTTTGGGGGGGTTGTTAGGGGGGAGCATGGTAGAGCCTCTCAGCCAGAAAAAAAAAAAAAAAAAAAAAAAAAAAAAAGAGGGGGCAGAGGGGGATCCCCAGGGACAGCAGAAAGGGCCCGGGCTTTGACTGACCCGCGTCCCAGCTGCTCCATGGTGAGGCGGAGGTTGGAGACCGGCGAGAAATTGTCAGGAAACAGAACCTTGACCACGGCGGGTGAAGCGGAGGAGACTGGAGAGAAAAGTAGGAGGCGGCGGCGGAAGCTACCGCGCAGTGCGGAATCCATGGAAGCGAATGAGCCGAACCGAGCAGAGCCGAACCGTCCTACTGTCAGCGCGGCCAGCACTGCTTTGACTGCAGCCGCTACCCGTCGCTCGCTCCGAAGCTGGCGCCAAACGTCCCCTCCACCAATCAAAACCGGTCCCTAAATGACGTTTAAAGTGGGCGAAGAAGTTCGCTCAAATCCTCCCGCCCACCGCCCTCGTTCTGGCCAATAAGAAGAGAGGCGGGTGGCCCACTCCCCGCCTCCAGCTGTTGATTGATGCCACTCCTGACCAATAGAGAAGCCAGACAATAGGGTGCAGCTAGGCAGCGTTACTGCCAAGGTGGAGACTACATTTCCCAGCATGCAGCGCCGTTCCCCTCCTCGGCCGTGCATGCTGGGAAATGTAGTCCCCGCCTCACGCAGACCCCAGCTTATCCGCTACGTCTCTGACCCTGTCCGTTTAACCGTGCCTCCAACCGCCCCGGGCCTGAGGGGAAGGGGGTAAACCTGGGAACGATGAGGGAAAACGGTCACGCTCTGACCGCGACAGACCTTGCTCTCAACCACTACCTTCAAGAGACTCTGGCATTTACGCAGGCACTGCTATTTGCCTTAAAAATGGAAACAAGCCCAACTTTTCAGAGGGCTTATTGCCTGCGTTGCCTAATCCCTTCTCTGTCCCCTGCCCCCCGTCACTGAGCAGGATGGAGGCCGCAATGGTTGTGCTGTGGGGAAGGGAGTCTTTGCATGGGTCATCCCTCAGGCCTCAGATTGTGGACACTAGGGGTGCAGGGGGAGCAGCGCCAGCTCCAAAAACACAGTCCCACAAGTGTAGAAACACAGTGAACTGGATGATCTTAAGGTCCTTTCCAACCCTAACCAGGGTTGAGATAAGAACAGTCCAATAGCTGAAGTATAACATTAATAATATAATAATAATAATGGAAGTAACAAGGGAAGAGAATGCAAAACTGAAAGGGGAAAAAAAAACAATAAACAGCAGTGATGCACAACTCAGTCGCTCACCACCCACACCCACTGACCGATACCCAGCCCGACCCAAGCAGTGATTGTCTCTTCCAGGTAACTGCCCCCGGTTTATACACTGGCCATGACGTGCTGTGGTATGGAATACCCCTTTGGTTAGTTTGGGTCAGGTGTCCTGTCTCTTCTTCCTCACGGTTTCTTGTGCCCCTCCTCACTGGCAAAGCGTGAGAGACTGAAAAGTCCTTAGTCAGGCTGAGTGCTACTGAGCAACAACTAAACATAGGTGCGTTATCAGCATTGTTCTCAGACTGAAGGCAAAACACAGCACTGCACCAGCTACTAGGGAAGAAGAAAAATAACTTACTGTCAGGGGATCCCACACCTCCAGGATACAACCCATGTCCTTCTGCCCAGGCCCTGCCATCCACATCCACACAATGCTCCTGGTTTCTGGTGTGCTTTCTCTCTGACCACCCAGGATCCCAGAGATTCCCATCACATCCCCACTGCCCTGTCGTTCTAGCATGGAGAGGCTTGAACTGTGCCCTCTCTCCAGCACTCCACTCAACCCTGTCCCCTCCCTCAATGTTTTCCTTTCAAGCAGGTTTTTACAGTTTCTCATCAGCAGTTACCACCACAATTAGCACCTCCATGGCTCCAACCTGTTCCTGCCTGCAAAGTGATTGCACCCCATACTGAACCAAGCAAGCCATGCAGCCCTGCCAAAGACCACCATGGGCAATCAGAACATCCTCCCTGCCTCCCTCCTGCTTATCTGTGTCCTCAGTGATCACAGGGACAGGTGGACCACTGCCACTGCAAGATCTGACCAGGATACCAGCATGCAGACACCCCCAGGCAGGACAGCACTGCTTTAATGTTCCAAAGTACTTGGCGGGGGGGAGGTGCAACAACACACAGAGGAGATCCAACTGCAGGGAGTTTGCAAATCGATGGTGTATCATTTTCATACCTCTTGCCTGCTCAGCTAGGCAAGGGCACAGGCAAGGGACCAGGAGGCATGCGACCCCATCAGGCACACAGCTGGATGTAGGTTTCTTGTGACCAGAGCCAAAAGTATGGGAAGACCTTCTCAGTGAAGGTGGCCTTGAACTGTAAGATCTGCATCATGTTCTCTGCATTATAAAAGGTCACTTGGCCCCCTTCATAGTCCAGGTGGACCCTGATTTTCCGGATCTCTTGGTTCAGTTCCAGCGGAGTGGGGGGCATGTGTAGTGCCGTGTACTGGCGATTCCAGTCCAGCCGCAGGGCCCAGATCTTCCCCAGGGCCCGGCTGAGCGAGTCCTTCCTCTGAACGGATTCCAGGGCCACACCAACGGCCCAGCTGTCCCCATGCCCTACCTCTAGCTCCCAGTAATGCCTCCCATCCGTGAAGCCCTTGGAGCCCAGGACGCTGGGGCTGCCCGTGAATCTCTTAGGGTTGTCATGGAGTTCTTGCTCTCCACTTGCCAGCCACATGGTCTTGCAGTCCTTTGAGAGGTTCAGGTATGGGCTTGCTGTCTCTGGGTCCAGCCATACCTTCTCTAATGCACAACAGAGAAGACCATCAGTCTATTGCCTGCTGAGGAGTGAACCAGCACCTCTCCCTTCTCTGCCCTGGGGCTGGGACATGCCCCATGAGCACAGCGGGCACACATGCCCCATAAGTACACACATACAGCACCCGCAGCCCCCTTTGGTGGCATGTGACACAGGACGCTTGATGCCCTCCCCAGTGGGACCCATTGGAGAAGCAATGCTTTCTGAAGCGGGACTGAGACAGGCAGGGTCCCCACACGCAGGGGACAGACATGATGGGCCTTGATAAACCTGATTCCAGAATACTGCTGGCCCTGAGTTTGTGGGGCTACAGTAAGGCTGAGTGTGGGGGAGTTATACACCTCCACGGGTGTAAGGAAGCATTGCCTGCAAGGCAGCAGTGGTGCCATGGCAGTCCCCGATCCAGTGACTCAACAGCTTCTAACCCTGCTCCACCAAGTAGCCAGGCAGTCTCACTGCAGAGCCGGAAATGCCCGTTCATGTGGAATGTTCTGCTGCCATCCCGCGGCCATCCCACAAGGCAACAGAGGTGTCACCGCACAATGCCACCCCAGAACTTCTGCCAAACCCTCTCCTCTGTAGCCCCAGATTTTGACACAGGCTGCACTGCACTGTGTGTCACATCTCTCATCCCAAAACCTGAGAGGGCAGAGACCAAGCTCTGCAATGCTGCCAGGACCATGTGGACCCAAAGCACCTGCAAAAGCATTTCAAATCTGTGCCTGAAAGCCAGCTCAAAATGCACTGAGCTCCTCTGCTTAACTATTCACAGTCTTACACATAACAGAACAATAAAGTCTCCAGCAACAGGGAAGCTGAGGGACTCATACTATCCCGGCTCTCGGCTGGTGTCTGGGTGTTGCCTGGCATAGGGACAGACCTGGATTTTTATAGTCAAAATGAAGGGACCTGGTTTTAGACAGACCCTGGAGTTAAAAGTTGTGGTGTGAGTCCAGCTCTGCACCCAAGGACACAAGGAAACTCATCCTGGAAAGCTTTTCTCCCTCATTTATGCCCAAGAGCTCCAGAAACTCACCCCTTTCTCTGTCAATCTTACTCAGCAGGCTCACTGGAGGAGGGAAAGGAAGATGCATGAGATTCTTGCAGCAGTTCTGCTCCCCATAAGGACAGCAAGCCACAGATGTGGAGCTTGCTCCCCAGCTCCCACAGCCCCAGGCTCCAGCAAAGCCCATCAAGGAGGGTCCCATCTGGAGCAGACGTGTTCTGCTCCCAAACCATGGTGGTGAGGATCAACTTCTGCAGCTGACCCCAGGGAAGCACAGCAGAGACAGCAGCACGCCCGCCTGGGGCCTGGACACCAGCTACACATCAAGGCATTGCTTGCTGCTGCTTTGCTTTACCTTTGAATTCGGCCATCACAGCTATGAGCATCTGGGTACTCTGAAAGAGTCTCTCAAGGGTCCTCTCCAGCCCCGGGGAAACCGGATCAGGGATCGGGGTCTTCACTGCCTCACACCTGAGGGGGAAAAAACATGGAGAGGAGCTCTGACCCCAGCAGTCAGTCAGCACGTGGGCTAGGAGAGAAACAGGGGAAAATCCCCTACAGCCCTGAACTCCAGGGAGCTGTGCTCCAGCTACTGGCATGAGAACCCTGTCTTCAACAGGGGTGCCATGGTCTCTGGTTCCATATAACATCCTGTTAAATCCCAAATGCCCAGCAGGGCAAAGCTACCTCTCTCCTGGCTGCTGCAGCTGGCTGCAGTGTTCCCAAACCTCTGCCCAAAAGAGCCATGTGGGAAGAGAGTGATGCAGAGCCCATTTCATACCTGTCCAGGATTTCGCCAACATTCTGGAAGAGAGGAGACACTAGGTCAGCTCTGGCACTGCCAGGAAGGACCATGGTCCCTGCAGCAGTGAGTTACAGCAGCTCCCTTGCTGCATGAAGATGGGATTGGGGGAGTCACACCAATCTCCTGGGCACTCTCCAGTGAGTCACTTGCCCAAATCCTCAGATCACACTGCAGGCCCAACCTCACACCGCACACACTGCGGTGTCACAGCCCAGCCAGCACCGCACTGCTCTTCACTGCCAGGCTACATGGGCCCCAGGATGCAGTGTGCCCCCAGTCTCACCAGGGATGGTTGCAGGGCCCAGGTGGGTAATGCAGCCTCACCGTAAGGAACTCAGCCATCGGCTGGTCACATTTCCTGTCTATCTCCGCAATCAGCGTGTCCAGCAGTGTTTCCCTCTCTGAAATGCTGGAGATGTATCTGCAGCGCTCCTGGTTGAGCTCCTCATGCACCTGGTCAAGCTGGACTAGCAGGACATCCTCCTGCTCCTGCAGGAACTCCTGCAGCTGCGTGAAAGCATCTCGCAGGCTCTGCTGCTCTGAGGCCACCTTGCCCTGCAAGGCACCCATGCAGAGGCCCCTGAGCCATCCCATCCTCCAGCTGCCACATCACAGCATGGGAAGGGGGCTGCAGAGAATGGGGCAGGATCATGGGGAAAAGAAGTTTTGGAGATGAAA